TTCTCAGTCGGTAGAGCATGGGAAGCTGAAAAGTCCTTGACTAGTGTAAGCACTACCTAGCAACAACTAAAACATCGGTGTGTTACCAACATTGTTCTCACCCTGAATCCACAACACAGCACTGTACCAGCTACTAGGAAGGAAATTAACTCTGTCCCTGTCGAAACCAGGACAGAAGGTCAAGGAAGAAAAGGGCAGCAGGAGTGTGGAGAACTCGAGCTTTGGTCATTAGAAGAGTGGTAACGAAACTAGGTTGAGTCAAGGATGTGCTTAGGCTTGGGATAAATTTTAAAAGGAGAAGAGGGTATGGAGAGAGATGTGGGATGGACTGACTGAAGATCAGATGAGGGTCTGCATTACTGCAGGGTGTGATTGACATGTGCTGCCACAAGTAGTTGGGTGGGGAAACTAATCCCTTGAAGCAAAAAGAAGAATGAATCAAAATATGTGGAGAGGTAGGAGATGTTTCTTGAGTATTATCATTCTTCTGCTTCAGAAGAAATCTGGGGAATCCAGTGGTAAATATTATCATTCACCATTTCTAAGCTCTACCTGGTGTTTGGCCCAGATGGGAAATGATCAACATCCTTTGCTTTTGATGAGTCTGCCAGCTCGAGTGACATGGGCTGTGTTAGATCGGGAGGTTCTCGTTTGGGAAGTGCTGATACAATGCCTAATCTCTTTCTCTTCTTCCCCAGTATTGTGGTTTTAGGGTTGGTTGTTGCTGCTTGCTTTTTAAAGCTGAACAATGAAGTATGAAAACCCCTGTATTTAAGAAATAATAATATTGAAAAATATTGATGAAGTTGCAGAGCTCACAGTGTGAGAAATGTAAATTAAAAAGGCCTCCGCAACCCAGCTGAGCTCCATGTTCTTACACACTGTTGATGGTCTTCATTTACGTGATCACATTCTGGTTTTATCCTCTAGGTAATGAGGATGGAGTGAGCCCAGGAATGTGTAACATAGGCCTGATATCCAAAAGAAAAAGTTATCATGCTTCCTCATGGACTTGGGATCCACCTCTGCCTCTGCTGCAAACCTAGCTTGTGGCCAGGGGCCATTTCAGACTTAACTTTTTGTGAAGCTGTGCTGAGCTTCCTGTTTTCTGCCTACTAAATTGAGATGCTTGTGGTCTTGCAAAGGGCTGCAAATTCATTATTGCAGAACTGGAGCTGTGCTCTGAGCTGGTATGTTGCTTTAAGAGGTAAAGGAGCCTGAATCTTCAGGCTACAGGTATTTAAAACAGAATCTAAAATAATGTGTGTAACACTGCATCACTGCTCTGTTACTCACTGGTAAAATAGGGACAATGCCCCTCGTGTCGTATGCATTTGTGAAGATACCATTCATTTATATTTGTATAGCGTGCAGGTTGCTACGCTAATGAACAGCATAGGAAGCTGATGAGGAAGGTGGTAATTCTGGGTCTGAGTAAAGCCTGGGATGACAAATGTTGAACAGTGTGGAGGAAATAAAATTGTTCAGCTTCTCATTAACTGATTGTCTTGTGCTCTGAAAGATGCAGGGAACCAAGAGCTGAAAGTATGTATTGTACATACTGACCGGGCTATTACAAGGGCGGTTTTAACTCTTGTATTTCCTAACTTTGGATGACATGGATTTTAAATCTTAATTTTTTTTCCCAAAGATAGATATCTATTTATGGCTAGAGAGTAAAATAAATTAATGCAGTCTGGGTAGACAAAAACCCATCAAGATTTGCAGTAATACAATGAACTGTTTACAAGGTAAACTGAGTGTTAGAATGTTTCAATAAGGTAAGGGATGTTAAAGCATAAGTGTGGGATAGATTTTTCTGCTATAGCAAGAGGAAATAGTATTAAAAATTACATTGTCTAATGTTTGCAGTCTCACATGGCAACCTGTCTAATATAGAAGGCTTCTACTTTTGCCTATGCGGCAAGGAAGTCCCACAGCTGCTTTCACTCTCCTCTGAGCCTGGGCATTTCATGAATCATAAACTGATTCCTTATTGCTACCTTACTGTGGTGGTGATGAAAACAAGCCATGTCCTTTCACACCTGGAAGCCAAACAGTAGTTTAGCCATCATAGTTTCTCCTCCTCTGCAATCCCAAGTATTAAAATTAATCATAGAGCTACAGTATTTGATGAGCAAGACTAACAGTTTTTCAGGACCTTACATAAGTGAAGGTGTTCTAGGTGTCTGGAGAATTACAGAACAAATATTATATCTGATGTGCTTATGTTTTTTTGAGATAGTTGTTCCAAAATGTTATCTGAATACGTGACATGTCCTTTTTCTTCACAGGTATCTTACAGAGCCCAGCAGGAAATAACATCCAACCCCGTCATCAAGATGGTGGCCATCTGGGTCTTTGCTTTCCTCCTCTACTGCCCACCAATCCTCTTCTGGGACCAGACACAGCGTGGTAGCAGCAGATCAGCGCTACGCCAAGTTCTTCGACAATTGCTACTTCCTCCTCTGTACATCCACCCTGGAGTTCTTTGTGCCGCTGCTCGCAGTGACCTACTTCAATGTGCACATCTTCCACAACGTCCAGAGGCACCAGCGGCATGGCAGCACGCAGGACTGTGAGCCTCCAAGGAGCAGCAGCCTGTCCTGGAGATTTTGCCTCTTGCCAAGGCCAGGAGCATCTTCTCCTCCATCGGAAGCAGAAGACAGCGTTTCATCATTAACGAGGTCATAGAGACCAGCAGCGATGGCTAACTGTCCATCTCCAACACAAACCAGTCCCATGGCCCTCAAAAATGACTCTTCTGTCCCTTTCTGTTCAAGGACTGGGTCAAAACTGCAGCGGGACAAGAAAATAGCTTGCTATAATTGTATGTGTCTTTGCCATTTGCTGGGCCCCATACACTTTACTAATGATTATTTGTGGGGCCTGTCAAGGAAAGTGCATCCATAAGTCCTTGTATGAAATAACCTTTTGGCTTTTGTGGCTCAATTCCTCTCTGAATCCATTTCTTTACCCTCTCTGTCTTATGAGGTTTCAAATGGCTTTCATGAAAATATTATGTCCCAAAAAGTTTGCAACATTGAGATCAGGCTCTTTTTAGAAGGAAAAAGAAAAAAAAAGGCTCAAGAGGAGCTGGATGAGGGATATAAGTAGCCACAGTTTGAAATTAGAGTTAGTCTCTTCCAGGAGATTAGTCTAGTTAGAAAGCCTACATAAGCCTTCCGTGAAATATGTCCTCCTTCAGACAAACACGCATGCCCAAAGTTTGCGTACTTTTTCCAGCTATTTCAATTGGCTGGTTAAAGGATATTGCCTCTGTCTGACCTTCCCTAGTAGTCTATCCACATTATCTTCATTCTGGTTGTTGAAGATACTATCTTCAATTGCAGTACAGCTTATATTTGTGTTCACAGGTGGTATTAATTAAAAATACAATGAAGGTGGGTATTTGCCATGAGGTCAATAGTATTCTAAAGTTAATATCTTCTCTATTCTATTTCTTTTGAACAGTTTGTACTGCATTCAGAAGCATTTGTTTCCTTATCATAAAACATCCAGTTAAGTTATGACTTTTGTTGTTGGGCACATAGCAGGATTACTTCCTTTCATTAAGGATGTTCGGACATCAGGGGAATACAGGGACTACTTTTAAAAACTCGAGTGAAGGTGTTCTCTGCAGAAGGGCATTAATCTGCGTGCTTGCTCAGATGCAGCAGTAGAGAGTTTGGGCATGTAAAGCATTTATGTGCATCTCCAGCTGTTCTTCAAGAAACAAGCCTTCTACAGCTATAATTTTGAGAGATCATAGGAAAGAGTAGTACTTGTTCTTAGTCCTTGAGGGAGAAAATCTGCTGCTGCTGGCCCAGGGGAGGATGCGTGCAGCAGTCCGAGCAGCTCTAACACTGTGTAGTCCCCTCTGGATCGTTTTGTGACCCCCAGTGAAGCTCTAACCCATACTGTGAAAAACACTCGTCTTACAAGCCCTGCTCACTTCCAAATATGACATAATGCACAGGGACCAACTCAGCTCCACACCTGAGCAAATCCCCATTCGGTTCAGTGTGCCAACGAGCAAGCAATTCGAATAATTGAGAAACAGGCTAAATGTGAATATTACACCTCATTTGTCCTCTTCTGTACTTTGTCTGTTACAAGCCATTTGTTGGAGGTTATGATAAATGGGTAAATCTCTTACACACTGTGTAAGGCTGTGTTTGGTTTGCTGCATGAGTCCCGAAAATGACTGACCTTGATGACTCCCTGTAGTATGTGTGGTGACTTAGCTGAGACAGCATGGAGGTAATCTTCTTTCAATAGGCAGTTTCCAAGCTGTTAAGGGTTATTTAGTTGCACAATTCTGGAATTACCAGGTACTAGATTCCTTACTAAATAAACAGTGTAACTCCTTAAAATACAAATAGTTTCTTTTCATCATACTGTCAGGAAGTATAAGGCCAGCAAATAAATGGAAGAATAAATACTAAAGATATGTGAGAGGTAGTGGATGTCCCTTTTATCTTCCAGTTTTATTTAGTGTATATTCATATAGTATATTAGAATATTTTACTTAACGCTCTTCTGAATGTTCTCCTTTTCAGCTGAACTACCACTTAGTCACAGTTATTTGTCTTGCTATACTGTACGATAATCTAAACTCATCTGCTTACACAAATTACCCATGTATTCACTAGTGTAGGAAGTGTCTTTCAAACATGAGCTGAGAACTGTAAGAGTTGATAGAAACTACTTCAAAGACCTGGTTTTTAAATAGGGCTTTGCTGAAGATGTTAATCATGGGATACAACATATGAACCGAAAATAACATAATGCAAAGAATGCGTGAAAGAAATACATAATTTTTCTTTTTTTTTTTTTTAAAGGGAAGAATCTCAATTTTTATATTTTTAGAGTTTTTTAAATGCTAGGAAACACTGATGTGTAGCCAACCTTTTGGGAATACACTTGCCCAAGATTCAGGTGTGAAGCGCTAAGGAAGGAGGGTCATTCTTACACCTGCAGGTAGAAACATGAATGTGAGCTCAGTGTCAGGAGAATTATGGCCAGGGACACAGCCCTTATTTGACTGCCTAATAACTAATAAAAAGCTGCATTATGACAAATACAGCAAGAAGATGTACTTCTGTTGACATCGTCTCCAGGCAGACCAGGTGATTACCTAGCCTAGCCTGGTCTTGTTCCACTGTCACACTCAGCTGTTCAGGTGAAAAGTTCTTTCCTTCTACACACTCTGGCCCATTATAATTTCTTTTGATTTTTTTTTTTTTTCTTTCTGTGACATTTCTTTTTGGATTAACATAGGCTAAAATGTAAACTTAGGAAGTTTATGGTGTAACTGAGAGGTTTACAAAAGCATATTGGCTTTTCTACCTCCTTTCCAGCATTCTCTGAATACACTTCTTAATTGTTCTTTAGACTAGATGTAATCTTTTTAGTCGATGTCTAAACAGCACCAGGCATTATAGGATCTTGGCCAATGAATTTGGCTTGTAATTACTGCTAAAAGTCAACAGATATATCCAAAGCAAGTCAGAACACAAAACACAAGTGCCCACTACACCCATCTGTTTTCTTTAAGTGCAGTACAAGTTTTTTTACCCTGCAAAGCTTTTGTCATTCTTTTAAAATGTAACTTGTAAATTCAGTAATGTTGAACAGGTGCAAATAAATGCTTTTGTGTCAGCCTTAAGAGCAAATGGCTCCTTAATGCTTTATAAGACATGCTTTTGATAGTGTTAGCAATAGAGAGCTAAAGATCTCATTCTGGTTAGCTTATCAAAAGGCTATCTATGAAATTAAGCTGTTGCCGTGTGTAGATAAGGACACATAGTCACATCTATGACATGTTATATTTTTTTTGTTCTTCCTCTTCCTTGCTCCCATCTTTTGCTTGCTTCTCATACCAGCCTGGCCTCTGCCACAACTAGTTGGTACAGGCCAGAACAACAGCGGAATGCTGGTATCAACAGGGACTTATCTTTAAGCAGCCTGAGGCCTCGTGAAGTCTGCAGCAATGCACTGTGCAAGGCCTAGGAAAAGCAAGTTGTAGTTAGCTGATAGAAGATACTGAGCACAAGCCTAGCTCCTCTGAGGGGCAGTGGAGTACCTAACGCTGCCTTCATTTGGGCTTACTTGACATGTTAGAAGTTGCCAGGTTTTAGGGACATCGGCAGATATTTCACTAATACCACTGGCTTATTTCTGGCACCCTTTGCAGCTGTACTGGCAAATAAGCTGGGAATCTAGTTGCTCTTGTCTTCCTCACTTTTTGTGAGCTACTGTTTGTAGGATAGAGGAGCAAGAAAGAAGCTGATGGGCAAGAAAAATGGAGTGGTTTAGGTGAGGGGCTAGATTGGTCTCTTTATTCTTCTGATGTAGAAGTTATTTCCAGCAGAGAAAGACACAGGATCTCTGTACATCGTACTCCTTATCCTTCAGCCAGGCAGCAGAAATATTGGGAACTGTCAGAGGGAGGGTTTAGTCCAAGAAGGTTCTTGTGGACTGTGGGTCCCCATGAAAGTTGCACAAGTAAACTGCCTTACTGACCTAAGTGGTGATGACATGAAATTCTCCCTACACCTGCTCTGAACTCATGGTCAGGGCAGGTCCTGCAAGCCATGGCATGGGGTCCGTGCTGATGAAAGGCATCAGTAAGGGTGCTGGTTAGAGGGAAAAGTGATATTGCTGTCAAATGCAAATTTCACTTCTCCCTTGGATTGACAGAACCTTATGGGCCTTTTCACATATGCATTATTTGGTAAGTGAGAGTCACCAAACAACTTACGTCCTTTCTTACACATTAAAAAAAAAAAAATCCTGTTTCAAAATACCAGAGCAAAACTTTACTTTGAAGTACGGAATTTACTTGAAAATTGCTGTGAAAATGTGTGAAGAAAAAGCTTTTATAAACAAAATTCAGATGTGTATCAGTGCAAAAGCTAGAGTTGAATAAAGGACAGTGTCTCACTTTTTAGGAGGAATCTGTCCGGATCCTGGAGACATGGCTTTTTAGTTTCATTACTGAACAACAGCATAATCCTTCATAAAAAAATCTTCTTTGGGCTCTAACCAAACAAACTGATGAAGGGAAGGATCTCTTGCTGAGCAAATCTTAGTCAAGAACAATTGAGTCTTATTGCTATTTGTGTGAGGGCCCTGTGGGCACCCAATAGGCCTTAACTGCCATGACCAACCTCACCTGGATCCCCACCACCAACATCAACCCCGGGCCCTGGAGCACCACGAGACTGGGGGGGTCTTGGTCTGAGCTACGTGAGTGCCTGTAGGTTGCTCTTAGCTTTGCCTTTTGCATTTTTTTGGAGGTTTTGACTGGACTTCTGAGATTGGCCTTGGACCTAGCTTGTCACCGCATGTTTGTGTCATGATCTCCCCCAGCCATACCTGGGGAACTGAAATCTTCCACAGTGGAAGACTATCTGTGATATCGCTTGTCACTCAGAAAGAAATCACACAAGTGATTTCCAAGCAAATCCAGTCTGACAAGGGGCTCTCGAGGAGGTTCCCAGCTCTGCCTGACAAGGGTCTCTTGCCCTGCTTCCTCCAAAACAATTCCAGATCCCACCTTTTCCTTTTACTTATTTTTATCAGGTTACCATGGCGTGTTGTGCAGTGCTGTCCTACTACTTTATTGTTATATCAATCTTCCCTTACTATTGCATCCTTCAACGCTGTTTTTTTCCTTGCCACCTCACCACATTTCTTGTATTCCTGTAGTGCCTAGTTTCCCATTTTGCATCAGGTAGTTCATGATCCTCCTTATTGTTGCAGTGCCTATAGATTTGCTACGGCACATATTTCTGTGTGCCTTACTCAACAGTTCCCCAGGCATATTGGTACAGCTTTTTCACTAAGAATATCATAGATCTGATTGCTGTTCTCACTCACATTACCATTTTCTTTCTCATTTCCTGTACTGTAAAAATGTTTTTTTAAGAGATCTACACAGAAATTGAATATTCCCTGAGTAAAACCTGTTGTTGTTAACGTGTTAGCAGTCTAACACAACCATAAATACCTCCCTTTACCTTATACAAACTTTACCATTCATAGCCTACCTGCTGG